TACTATGCTGTATTCTACTACATGAAGCTATCTGATACCATACTAAACCCACCCAGGCTAGAAACGCCATACACTGAAACCTAGAATCCGACCGTCTCCAGGGACTTCGCAAGCGGCTCACAATACACTTATTGTAGGGGCCTGAATAATTAGAATAGGGTTTTGGGGGTTCTCTATGATAAGTAGAGTATAATATACCCCAAACCCTATTAAGGCCTCTATATTATGAATACCCATGTCCCCGATGAGGCAGCATCTACCCATAAACCCCCATAATCATGCTTGCAAACCCTGCCATATAAGCTGCACCTACCCATTCAACTTCCAAGTGCAGCTCTAAACGCCCTAAACCTTCGAATCCTAAACACAAGACCCTAACCTTCGAGACCCCTAGACCCTCATACTTGACTCATACCTATAGCAACCCATGAACACCCAATAGACACCCTAGACACCCTTCTAATGCCCTTTAGTAAACACAGTTTCCAAAACCTATAAGCCCGTCTAGCACCCCCTGAACACCCCTGAAACTGCCACTGAACCTTCGAGCTTTTTAAAGGTCGAATAGCATTGCTCGCAGAGCCAATCTCCATGCGTCCTAGGCAGCTCTTCGAAGGACTGGGTTTAGGGCTTTTGGTTTTTGGTTTAGGGTTTTGGGTTTAGGGTTTAGGGTTTAGGGCTTAGGGTTTACGGGTTACGGGTTTAGGGTTTAGGGTTTAGGGCTTAGGGTTTACGGATTTAAGGTTTAGGGTTTAGGGTTTTGGGTTTTGGGTTTTGGGTTTAGGGTTTGTTTGTGCGGGGATCGGTCTCTATAGGACGACTTGCTGGTTTGAGAGAGGTGTGTAGATGAGCGTTGGAGAGTTCAGGGACGTGTGGTTATGAGTACATTCATTCGCACTCTAAGTATACGCAAATCACTATAGGCCGCTGACCCTCTGAGTAGACCATGTCCCCACACCCAGAATAGACCCTCACAGACACCTTAAGAAAAGCCCGATTGCATCCCACTTTCATCAACCCGTTGTAGAACCCTTATACGGGGGGTTTCCGAAAATAGGAGACCCCAATATAGTACCCCAACATAGCAGGATCCTTATTATAAGGACCCCAAAAAAGGTACCCCGTATTTTCGGAAACTCCCATATAACCCTATCGGTGAGCAGCTAAAGGTTCGCTCCAAGAGCCAAAGACACCAGTACATCTGGGTAGTTCTCTAAATTGGGGTCCCCTTTTAGGTCCCCAATATAATACGGCACCCATATAAAAAGGACCCCAAAAGGGACCCTCATTTAGAAAACTACCCATATACATACATACAACTCGCTCGCAAAATATGTCTACCTAGAGACTCCAATATGCCTTAATTAAGGTATTGGAGTCTCTGGGTATCTAGAGCCCCTTCATACGAACCTAAATGACCGTAAATGGCCTTGCAGCAGCTTCATAAACCCCTCATCGAATCTGCAAAGAACCTCTACCGACGAATTAGGAATCTCTCGTAGAGAAACCTGGGGAAAGCCGAGCTGCAAGCCGGATATGAACCAGTGGAACAGAAGTTTTGGGTGCAAGGAAAGCGGGCCTAAAGGACCCAAAAAAAGGATGATACTACGATTGATTGTTCAACCTCAGGGGTATGATGGCTCTACTAAGTAATAGAGACTAAAGCCGCCTACCGAAACAGGGTGGAGGCATCCAACTATCAAGGCCCTTCAAAGAAAGGGAGCTTATATGCATCAGTGATTCATCATTAAGGATCCCCTCTCTGTAAGGGCTGCAGTCCTTGTTAGGGCAAGGAGTTGATTCAGGAAGGGCCTCTATCTTATCAGGTCCTGGCACGGCCAGGCCGGTTGGGACCATGGGAGTTGCGGGTCTTGGGTTTAAGAATTCGGGGTTTAGGATAAGATTAGGTTTCGGACGTCCGGGTCTTAGGGTTCAGGGTTGGGAGTTCCGGGTTTGGGAGTATCTAAAAACCTGCTGCAGAGGTGCAGGAACTGGATATTGTTGTTCCCATCTCGCGTATCGCCCTTAGCTTGGGGACTCTGCAGACAAAGACGCCTCAGACTCTCCCTGCCATCGTGTCTTGGCGTGCAGAAGTCGAAGAGTCGGGCAGCCAAAATCCTGAACCCCAAATCCTAAACCCCTAAACCCTGAACCCCAAATCCTAAACCCTAAACCCTAAACACCAATTCCTAAACCCTACAGCCCAAACCCTGACCTGAAGCCCCAATCCTAAACCCCTAAACCCTAAACCCC